CCCTTGATATCTGCGGTTCGCATTCGCAAACGGTGCCTTGATTTCTGGTTCCTCCTGTCCCGTGAAAGCTTCGCTAGTGCGACGTCTTTGAACAAGACTAACAAATAGTCATGTCTGTAGCGGCGGTAGAGTAGGATTTACTAGCGGTGTTACATAGGTATCGTCATATCCGTCATCATATACCCCTGCAGCGGCATGGACAGACAGCACGCGGGGTTGATCGCGTGTCCGAGGTCGGCGCATGGCAGTCAAACCAGTTGTATAGATGCAAGCGATGGGAAAATGGCAAACTGCCGCATGAACCCACTGCATGGCGTGATTCTCATCACAATGATGTACATGAAGTGGGATGTTCTGATGCCTATTGCAGCGATCTGCACGCCCGTTGCGCGCGTGATGTTCCGGCTTGCCTTATTTGCAAGTCGAACGGGCTGCTATTGGCGTGGTTGGGTTAAGCTTCACGCCGGCACACTGCAGAGGGCGGAAGAGGGTCATGGATGTGCAGGCGGAAGGCTTGCGCGCTATGCTCGCCTCGAGGGAACACAGATAGATAAAAATGCTCCGAACAATTTGGGATGCTGACAGTGCACCGCTTGACCCGGTATAGCAATGCTCAGTAAGGTGTGGCGTAACACGTCGCATGAGCATTGCTGTGCAGCCGCTGTAAAGATTCATGCATCGAAGGGGCAGGCACGCTCTATCCGCGTACCTAGGAAGCAGACAATGGGTGACGGCGGCGTGAGTAATAGCGTCGGCGGGGTTTGCCCGCTGCAGAGACTTCAGGCATGCGGTGAACAGACAAAGCGCGGGTTCATTCGCCCTGGAGCTTGCTATGGCTCAGGGGGGTCCTGGTGCACGCAAATGAGCAGGTAAGCTAAAGAAGCCGGCGCAGGCTAATTGGCTGCCTTGGAAGACGTGTTTGTCTGGCGATGCAGCTGTGCGATATGGCAGAGGCAGCAGACGGGGGGACTATGTAGAGGAGGGCAAGATGAGGTGCCAGACAGGCAAGATCACTGCCGGAGAGGGACGGGCGATACTTGGCTTCCCCGGTAGAGTGAAATGACGGCCTTGTTGTCGTGGTCAAGATCGGCATCATGAACTGGAATCGGACACAGCTCGGCTGATCTGCGTGGCAGCAGCATCAAGATATGCTGCCCGCGTGGTTGTGATGAGGGCGGTACAAGCCGGACACATGGAATTTTGCCGCGGATAGGCAGCGTGTCGAGGGCGTCGTGGTTGCATGTGCAGGGCGGTCGTGGTGAACCACGGGTCGGCAGCGCTGGAGACGTGGAACCTCGGAGTCGACAGGCAAATCAGCCGTCAGGTGCATCGTGGCTTGTCAGTGCTCTGGTCACAGCGTGGCCCACTCGCGCAGAGGCTTGGGCGGTCGGGTTTTCTTGGTTGACTTTGCATTTGACGTTTAGCACTTGCAAGTCTTGGCACGAGCCCATCCGGCGGAAGGCACGACTGAGCAGGCGCAGGGCACCTTCCTCGCTCCCTACACGTCTTGCCCAGCACACGACACCCCCCCAGACTCCCCCACCGAGCAGCGGCTCAACATCTTCCAGTCCTGGCTCGTCCTGTGCAGCAGTCGAGTCGCGCCAGGGAGAGGTTTGCCCGCTCGCACCCGCACCGCCGTCTATGGTAGCGAAGTCGAAGAGGAACGCGGCGCACGACAAGCGACACGAGAATGGCCTTGCGGCCCCCGGCAAGAAAATCACAAAGCAGAAGAGCATCCCGCAGCTCAATGGCCACGCCAACGGGAAGCCCAGCGAGCCCTCGCCGCCGCTGCCCAGCCATGTAGACACGACCGAGATGACGCAGCACGCCAGCGCCCACGATCCAGCTCCGGGGTCGAGCGCCCACGCCAACACCATGGCCGCTGCTGCGTCGGCGGGATCAGGGCACCGCACGCGCGCTGGCTCGGATGCCTCGCTCGACAACACCCCCGAGGCCTGCCGCTCGTACGACAATGGCAGCGCCGGCGGGCCCTTTGATCCCATGCCCTCGACTCTCCGCCGCGCCGACACCAATGCCTCCAAGTCGGCGTCTATCTCCATGGCCAGCATGCTCGCCGTGCCCGCCACCATTCTCACGTCCTGTCCGCTGCGGGACGTCCTCGCCATCCTCATCATCCTGCTCCAGCTGCCCCCCACCGTCCTCACCGTCGTCCAGTTCCTGTTCGCAACGCTTACTTTTGTCCCGCCCCAGGCCGGCACGCCCCTCTCCGCCCTCTCCGCCTTCCCCTCCTTCACCGACATCTTCCAGGGCTCCGGCGGCACGCCCTCGCTCTTCACCACAATCATCGCCGACACCGTCATCCTGCTCGTATGGCTGCTGCTGTGGGTGCCTGCCCAGAATTTCTTCCTCGACCTCGCACAGGCCGTCATAGCCATAGCGCTCGGCGGTGCCGCAGCCGGCAAGAAGGGCACGACCAACAGCATTGTCATATGCTTCGTCATCATTCTTTCGAGCCACGTCTTCAGATTCAGGCCTCTCCGGCAACACATCGTCCACTTCCTGTGGACGGGGCTCGCCCGGGGAGGCCTTGAATTCTTGACGAGCCCCCCGAGTACGCCGACCTATTTGGAAAGCTTCTCGACCCCCCATGGATGGCCTCGTAGCCTCCTGGGCATTCATATTTTGGCCCAAGGTGTCGTTCGTATCATCCGACGCTCTCTCTCTCGACGAGAACAATCAACCTTACCCACCGGCAAGAAGACAGATCCAGAGTCTGGCACGCTGCAACGCTCCAACTCCACGAACCTCGATCCCACTGCCGACGTGCCCAACTCCTCGAGCACCGATGGCCGCCCCCCGGGGCCGTCGCCTGCAGCACACGCAATCAAGGATAAAGCGAGTAGTGGGAGGAGGAAGAGGAAGCAAGCTACTCATGTTCGTAGTCAGCAGCCATTCTGGGCTGCACTTGCCAGTACAAAAGTTACAGTTTTAAAAGAGATGGAGAGTAGCCGGGCGGCCAACGATGCCGACGAGGCTAACGCAAAAGACGCAAATCACATTGGAAACGCTGTTTGGAGATCGGAGGACGATCGTGTTTGGATTTCAGAAGTCGGCTTTTCCGACATTTCATTTCGTGTTAGTTTATCTGGTGGAGCTGGCCTTCAAGAGCAGGACGACGAAGATTCCAGCGTCGGGTCTGGGATAGACAAGTCGAAGCCCTTCTACATCCGCGTCAACGGCGCGGACTGGAGCTCAACCCGCATCCGACAGAGCGAGCCGATCGGATTCCAGGGACAAGAGGGAACGGGCTACTGGGTAGGAGAAATATTTGGTCTAACGGCTCTCTCGAACTATTATTGCGAGTTTGTTCGGACCAACGACAACCAAGTCTTCTACTCAGCGAGTCTTATTACCTCGGCCAGCCCGGTAACCGAACTTGGTAAGCAGAACATCTTGTGTAGCCTTACCTTGCTAATGCGTGACAGCTTCAGCTTCTATTGCCTCCCCGCCAGCCCATCAGACCCTACGACCTTCTTCGCCAACAACCACGTTGAAGAACTCTATTGCCGCAGCCGACCAGCAACTACAGGAACAGCGCAATCGATTGAAGCGAAACAAGAAAGACCACAAGACAGCCATTACCAACATCAAGAAAGAGGTAGACACGCTCGGCAACCGCCTTGCCAACGCCGGAGGTAGTGATGAGCGCCAACGCCAGCGCGTCCTTCAATTCACGCAGAACATCCGCCAAGCTGACGATGCTGCCGCCGAGTTTTCCCTTCAAGCAGAAAATCTGGGAAGCATTCCCGAAGATGAGGCGAAGGAGGCTGCAGCCAAGAAGGCAGAGTGGAAGAAGGAGCGTGACAACAAGAATGCTGTTGCTTGTGAATTCGACAAGACCAAGGAGGAGATCGAGCGACAAGTGCAAAGTGTGGAGTCCGATATTTCTACTGCCTTCCAGAAGAGGGAGCGCCTTCAGCAGCGTCAAACCAGGCTCAACGAGCAGCACGATCGTCTCGTTACTGCCAACGCTGAAGGTTTCACCGCCAAGCAACGAAGGGAGCAAGAACGCGCAGCATTACGAGCACAGCGCGCTGAAGTCGAGCACCAGTATCGGAGCAACATCAATGGTTACGAAAGACGCACTGAGGAGCAGAACATGTCAACCAGCCAAATCCTGCAGACTGTTCAGCAGTACGAAGAGCTCCTCCTCCAGCAAGCGCACCAGCACATGTCTGTTCCCACCACACCAGAAGGCAATCTCCCAGGCACGAACATGTCGCCTCACGGCAATGGTTTCTCCAGCTTCACGTTCCCGTCAATGCACTCGCACATGAACGGCACTCCCGGTTCCATGCGTGGAGGTCGCGGTCGTTCCTCGTCGATGCTCTCTAACGTATCCGGATTCACCGACGCTTTCGACGAGCCCGCGTCTTCAGGCACTTATGTCCTCGGTAACCCCTTCAGCACTCCAGGTCCGATCAATGGCCGCAATCGCAGTCACGGTAGTGGCAGCCTCAGCTCAGGAACCTCCAGTCAGAGTTCGAGCCAACGAGACCCATTGAGCCCAGTCCAGAGTATTAAGCCGATGATGGTGCGGAGTCCTACTAGTGGTAGTGGTAACAGTCTGATGAGTCCGATTGGCACTGGCAGATGAAACCGTACACGATTTGATCTTTACGTATCTTTAGGTAGTGTTCCAATGTGATATTCGCGTCCTTTTCGTGTTCTCAATATAGTTCTCGCTTTGCTCCAATTGAAGTGATTTGCGTGTGAATGAACAACTTCATGACATGATGCTCACGGATCGTAAGGAATCATAAACTACCTTTGATACCTACGTAGAGACACAGGTGTATGTACTAAGACGTGAAAAGGTAAGTAACGACTACACCGCAGGATACGGTCTTTATTTGCTCAGTGGAAGGTACACGAAGACTATCCCGCTGCCTTATGCTGACATACAAAACGCCCCCAAACATGCTGTAGTCCCCAAACCTCCCCAACTCACCCCTCAAGTGCGTTGACGCGTTGAATGTCTACATCTCCTCGATGATGGTCGACAACCTTGGACTCCGGCCGGTCTGCTCCAGGTCTTCGCTGGCATCGTCCAGTCTGCCGCCGCCACCTTCAGCATCACCCCCATGCTTATATTCGACTTCCTCTTCACCCTCCTGCCCTCCTTCGCTTACACCCGCAACGTTGGGAATCCTCCCATGCTTCATCCCCCAATTACCTGTCTGCATGCAGACACCTATTCCAGACCATGCCATCAGTCAACCATACCTTCATTTTCCTTGCTCCAACGATAAAATCCAAAATCAAGACGCGAAGACAAGATAGCTGAAAGGAAAGAAGTGACATGAACTTACTGATAACTCCACCCATCCCCTTCCTCAAGTCTTCCAACAGACAATTCGCCCCAGTGATGATGTCGGGCTGATCCTCCACATGACTGATCAGTGTCCATGATGTGAATGGCGAGGCTGACGGTCCAGTGTAGAGAATCAAAGCCACGCCGTAGGTTGGCCCTGTTCTCTCTTCACCGTCGTTGTTGCTGCTGGTGCTAGCAGTGTTGAAGGTGCTTCTGCTATCGTTGCTACTGCCACCATTGTTGGAAGTCATGCTGTAAGTGACTACATCATAGACTTTTGTTGCGTCTTCCGATCTCGTGCCGTAAAGAGGCGTTGCGAGACTGATGATTTGTGTCTTGATGGCAGTGAAGAGCTGTTGCTCGAGCAGTTGTGCGGCGTGTGTTGACATTTTCTTGTCTGCTGAAATTTGTGTTGGATTGATTAGAGGAGGTTGAGGTTGTGTCTGTTGATATGGTGTTGAAGTTGAAGTCGTAGTAGTGAGCGTTGGCAAAGGCGAGTGACCAAAGTGGAGGTGAATGTCAGAGATGGACATTATCGCGGTACCAACGTGTGTATCGTAAGTCACCTCGAAAACAGAAGAAACACATGACAGAGCTCTTATCTTTGCTCTCGTTTGCTCATTCATCTACAGCCAAACAAGTACGATGCATCTACAAACCGTCGTTGGCCCAAGTCCCCAACCTTCCACCGTCACTCAGTCTCAAACCTCTCACTTATCCACACAGATTGCTCCGCTGCCCAGCATTCCAGCGCCGCATCGCCTCTTTGATCTGTGTGTCAGTCCAAGGCCCGTACCTCTTGTGATCTCCGTGTGGTAGATATCCCGCTTGGTGACTCTCTTTCACCCTACTTGCTGCACCCTCCAGTGCCATGATCCACCAAAAGCCCCCTTCTGCCATTCTACTACCATACAGCTTCCATAATCCAGGCATATGCACCACATCTTGCACACAGTAATCCTTGATCGCTTGACTCAGCGGCCTCTCTTCAAAGACCGCATATCTGCCACCTCGTTCCGGAGCGAAGAGCCTGACACCAGCTGCTTTAATGGCGCTGCAGACTTGCCTCTGCATTGGTGTTATGTTCAAGCGTGAGGCGTTGTAGTCGATGGCTTTGCCCAAACCCAGGAGGTGTTCACGAGAACCGCGTGTAGTAGTTGCTAGCTCCATGAGTTGGATGTCGTGGATGCAGGAGAGGGAGACGGCGTAGTGGGAGAAGAGGGCGTCGGAGTCGTTGCGTACATCGAAGAAGACTTTGGGAATTGCTGGTGATTCCAAGATAGACTTCAGGGTTGTGGAAGGCTTTCCGGCGTCTTCAGTGAGGTTTGTTGTGCTGGGCGTAGTATCAAGAGGCGCAGTCACGCTTGCTGTTCCTGCGATGGCAGGTGTTGAGAATGCGCGAGCGCCTAGAGTATGGATGTCGATGAGATACACAGTCTCCTTGGGGAGTACATACAGGGTTAGTAGTGCGATCGAACCATTCCTGCTGAGCTTCGCGCCTTCCAGATCGATGTACAGACTTGGTGGGGATACTGGCAGGTCGTCGAGCGTTGCTAGTATAGAAGAGAGCTCTTCTGGAGTTGATATGAATACGACTGGAGGCATGATTGTGATTTGTTGGTACTGTATGTGGTTGTTGTAATATTCAAAGAATGTTGTACATTTATGTCAGACAGAGAGTGATTGTTTGATGGTTCTGGACACGACGATACCGAAGAAGAAGAGACGAGTGGGTGCGGGCCATGAGAGACCCATGAAGAAGGCAACAGGTCGTACTTTCCGATTCGCAGACTGCACCTAGTATTGCCTGAACATGCCTTCTGTAATCTGGTTCGACAAGATATACCGTCGTGTAAGCGGTGCTAGCCTTTGCAGAAACCGGTGAAGTTCCTGCATATCTCAACGAAACAAGGTGCCACGAAACCCAATAGCTACTGACGCGGAAGTCCCATGTTTATCGATTCAGCCTTGGTCCACTTTCCATTGGATCATGACAGTCGATATGCAAGTGACAGAAGCCTATTGTGGAAAAAGATCATCTGACCCGTTCTTACCAGGGAAGGCCAACTCATGTTGTGTTAGAACCTATCTTGTCATTTGAATGCATTACATGTCCTGAAGTGGTGGCGGTTGGGCAATCTGGAGGAGGGGAAGCGAGGAATGCAGACAAGCCAATGAGATCCAGACCAATAGTGTAACACAGTCGCCAATGCAGGTAGAACACCAGGCGAACGGATAATGTAGTCGCTACTGGCTCTAGATATATGCGCGGAATTTATATGTAACGTCCCTGGGGATCAAACTTGTCCATGAGCTCCATGGACTTTTCGTACATGGTGAAGACGATACCACCACTGAGGATCAGCCGACCCAACCTTGGAAGTGCTCCTGACCAGAAGGTGAAGAGCCCCTCGTCTCGGAAGATCTTGGCTACACAGTCGAAGCTGTTCTTGTAAGAGCTCCGTGCTTCTATTGACTGCATGCGTGTCTTGACTGTGTCGATGGGCATCGTAGTGTAGACGGTTATTATGCCTGCGAGTCCTCCGAGTCCGAATGTGCTGAAGGCACCGAGCTTCTCCCCTGGGGTGACGTATGACTGTGCTAGCTGCTTGAGCGATGTGTAACTGGAGAAGCGAACGGCCGAGTTGGCTGCTTGACGTGCAGTCGTTGGGAGGAAACCTTGGAAGAAGCCGCGAATGCCCTTTTCTTGCGCGATTATTCTTGATCCGTGCAGGAAGCCTCGCATGCGTGGGTTTGCCGACTTGCGGTCGTCAATACTAGGCGGATGAGTCAGTGAAGGCACATGAATGCGACCGAGGCTGCTTACAGTTGGGTTTTGATGCTCTCGAACGGAGTCACAGCTAATAATGACTCTGTAGCTCCTGCACCGAAACCAGCTATGACTGTCGCTGGGCCGGAGACTTTGCCTTCAGCGTCTGCCAGCATGTTCCTGTACATGTCGAATGCGACAAATCCTGCGCGAAGAGTCAGACAGTCGCCTTCCCGTTATTTCCACGACGTACTTATGCCCGCCTTCAGAGAGTTGCCGATGATCAAGGTTGTGCATCCGGCGTACCACTGCTTGCCGAACGGCGGCCATGGCAGCTTCTTTCCGTCAGGTAATCTTCGGTTGAGTTGGGATCGTGTCTTTGCGACTATGTTGGGGTCAGGTTCGACTTGGTCATGTAAGCGGATACGATGCGGTGCGTACACTCAGCGGGGTATGTGATTGCTGGTCCAGGGTCAGTCATGAATCAGATTACGATCCGGGCGCATGCTTTACAAATCTCTACGGCACCTGCAGTTGCACCTGCCAGGATTGAGCGCATTGCGCTTGGCTTCTTCTTCTCGGTCGTTGCAGTCGCCATGACGTTTCAAGTCGAGCAGCCTCCGGTGGTGATAGGAGTAGGTTTGTACGCGCAGCAATTACGCGGGAAAGTTTTGGCGTGTCTACGTCGCGTGCGGTAATAGGAATTCGGCGCAGTGACGTAGTATTGGTCTTGCACTCGAAAGCAATGTAGATTCTTTGAGAAGTAATAAGAACCACAGTTCGAGGAATCTCGACGCGCCAATGTGAACTAGATTTCCCCAGGTTCACAAAATCCTGAATCCATCAAGACGGCCGAGGACGGAGGTGAGCAACGGGCCCGCATTTCGGCGCCAAGCATCCCGCTTGACATCAGCCCGCCTGCGCTTGGGCCATCGAAAAGTTACGCTTTCGAGAGCCATCTATCGCATCGCCATCTTGAAGTTCCATTCCAGTCACACGTTTAGTCCACCATGATGTCCCTACGCAATCTCGCCCGCAGCGCCCCGCGGTCTGCTGCTCGATTCTCCACCAAAGCCGTCCGCCCGCAGTCGTCGCTGCGACAGACGTCAGCTTTCCAGCCAGCATGGGCTGCCCCAATTCCCCGCCTCACAGCTTCTTTCCACATGTCAGCGGCGCGGAGGCAAGACAGCGGTAGTACGTATAGGATATATTGCGGTGAGAGAACACGGCTAACGTGATTTAGTCAATGAAGAGCTCGTCGCGAAGATCCAGAGCGAGATTTCCATGGAGGAGGGCATGAAGGAGGACGAGGATCTCTCTGCCAACATCAAGGAGTACCTTGAGAACAGTCCTTTTGAGGTGCGACCTTACATCACCATTGCTACTGGCCGAAAGCTTACAGCCATTAGATTGAGGACAAGGCAGGCAACCAGGAAGTCGTCCTCACCCGCACATACAACGACGAGAAGATCCGAATCACCTTCACCACCGCCGACCTCAACAACAACCAGCCCAGCGATGAGCTTACTGAGGACAATGCCATGTACGACGATGCCGACATGGATGTGCAGTCTGGCGGCGCCAACACCAAGGGTGCCATCAACCAAGGCACCACACAAGACGGAAACATCCGCGTAGCTCCCGAGGACCGTGTTGCTCCCGCTGATCGCGAGGAACTTGAGGACGACTACGAGGATGATGGCCAACAGCAGGGCTTCCCCGCTCACGCTAGCATTCGCATCGAGCGTCCCGGCAAGGGTGCTCTCGCTATCGAGGCCACCGCTCAGGACGGCGACTTCCTGATCGAGGACCTCTACTACTTCCCTACCGCCGATCTGGCTGACCCCGCCACTGCCGAGAAGGACTGGTCAAGACGCGCTCTCTACACTGTAAGTGCAAAGGCTGCATGTAAATCGTAACAAATCTAACTTCTAACAGGGCCCTCCTTTCAACAACCTAGACGAGGACCTCCAGATCCTCCTTGAGAAGTACCTTGAGGAGCGTGGCATCAACACCCGTCTTGCCCTGTTCATCCCCGACTACATTGACCACAAGGAGCAGAAGGAGTACATTCAGTGGCTCAACAGTAAGTCGCGCTTACGTTTCTCAGTTCCAGTGTCAGGAGCTAACAAACCACCAGACATCAAGAACTTCGTTGCCTAAGCTCGAACCGAATCGAACAGCATCGTCAACGTTTGAAACCCGGCTCAGACAATACGAACCGACGCTTTGCCGAAGCTTTCACGAAGTAACAAAAGTCTCTCATGTATAAACATATAACGCATCTCAATAATTGAGCTACTCGGGGGCGTTAGCGGAAGTGTAAAATAGTTGGTGAGATTGCTCTTCATACATCGTTCTCTGACACATGCAACACTATCTTGCAAGCAATCATCAGAACGCGAAAGAGACGATCGGAGTACTAGGTAACTCGAGGCACCAACCTCATATGGGTTATCTCGGTCCTTAATCTACGAGAACCACGACTTAGGTATCATCGAATGCCAAACAAACGCATATAGCGCTTTTCCACTCATCACTGTCCGATTTTCCCCCTCTGTCCGATGGCTTATCGTGTCGTTTGATCTTCTTGTCTCATTCCAAAGGTCCGTGTCGAGA